CCAAAACCCCAAAACCCCAAAACCCCAAAACCCCAAAACCCCAAAACCCCGCTAAGTAATTACTTGGAGAATTTAAATGTAGATATTAAATAACTAGAATCAAAAATTAAATATTAATTCTTGATCACTCTAGGATTAGAGTCTTGGGCTATTCCCAAGTGAAATCTGGATCATTTCTTCCAAAATGGCCATACTTAGCAGTTTTTTAGTAGATAGGTCTAAGAAGGTTTAGCTCCTTGATGATATTACCAGGTCTGAAACTGAAATTCTTCTTAACAATTCTGATGAGGTCATCATCATTAAGGCCTTCCTTGACAGTGTTATATGATTCAACATGGATTGATAATGGATCAGCTAATCCAATAGCATAAGACACTTGAACTAGACATCTATGTGCGAGGCCAGCAGCAACAACTGATTTTGCAACATATCTAGCATAGTAGGAAGCTGATCTATCGACTTTAGTGGGATCCTTTCCTGAGAAAGCTCCACCTCCGTGAGGAGCCCAACCACCATAAGTATCTACAATGATTTTTCGACCTGTGAGACCTGAGTCAGCTTGTGGACCTCCCATTACGAAAGAACCTGAAGGATTAATGACGATCTTTGTGTTGGTAAGCATCTCAGCTGGGCAAACCTTTCTAATGATTTACTCTGTGAGAGTCTTTGCAATCTCTTCGTTACTGACATCAGGATCGTGTTAAGTAGAGATGAGGATGTTATAGATTGAGACTGGCTTGATATTTCCTTTATTGTTCTCATACTCAACAATAACTTATGATTTGCAATCTGGTCTTAACCACTTAATTTGGCCGCTATGTCTTGCATTAGCCAATTCCTCGCAGAGTAGGTTAGCAAGATAGTGAGAGTATGGGTGAAGAGTTTCCTTATCCCATTCGTCAGTGGCATAACCAAACATAAGACCTTGATCTCCAGCTCCAAAATCATCCATATCTTTTTCGGTATGCACTGCATTTGCAATCTCACTGCTCTATCTCTCAACATTAACTAGTACACTCATTGACTTGTAGTCGAGACCCTTGCTCTCGTCATCATAGCCAACCTATTTGCAAACCTCTCTAGCGATCTGCTCGTAGTTAACTCTTTCTCCATTGACTAATGTCTCTCCAAGAAGACAAACCTAAGACAACATTAAAACACTTTAATATTACAAGTTTGGTTTTGGTTGCTGCTTCAAGACCTACTTTACAGTGGAGATCGATTCTAAGGCACTCATCAAGGACTGCATCTGAGATTTGATCACATAGTTTATCTGGATGACCTTCTCCAACTGACTCGGAGGCAAAGTATATATGACCAGGCTTAGTGTTTTCCATCTGATATCTTTAGTTATTAATTATAATTTATTTTGCTAATCTTTATGTCATGGTAAATATAGCATAAAGGGGTTTTGGGGTTTTGGGGTTTTGGGGTTTTGGGGTTTTGGGGTTT